CTTCCTCCTCCCCAGCGACGGGTCCCACTCTTCACTCTCTTTTCTGGAACCTTCCAGAAGGTCATGCCAGCCTCTGCACCTTGCTCTTCCACACAGCGATGTGTCTCTACAGTGTTTCCAAGGCAGGTCTTAAATCCCCAGGGCAGGCGCTGACCGTTTTCCAAATATGCTCCTCTGCCCACTCTCATTCTCCAGACTTCCTGTACCAGACTGCACCGGCTCAGTGGCCATCCTGGCCTTCGGTGGGCTCATCTCCGTGACACATCAAGCAAGCTAGCCTCACTTTCTAAGCCATTGCGTGAGCTTCTGCCACGTTGGTCCCACATGGAAGACACTCCCTGAGCATGCTGACTGTCATAGGAAGGACAGACCCACCACAGGCTGGTTCCAGAGAGTGGACCTGACCCCCAGGAGGCCCAGCAGAGTGCACCTGCCCCTTTCTGCTACTGGTTATTTAACGAAATGAAGGCAGCGTACAGCTGTGAGCTGGGGGCCTGAAACAAAGCATACCTGCTGCCTCTGGTAGTTGTCAGGACATCTCCGCTGTCCTCTGTTTCCTTTCTGCTAGGCTGTACCCCACACCTTTGCTCCTGGACTGCTCCGTGCTCTTCCTGCATTTTGGGTTTCCATTTGGTCTTATTTTGCAACGGCAGTGCCTTCAAGCGATTCACACCCTAACTCCCATACCAGCCACCGTGGGGTTACATGCCTTGTGTCAGGGACACCAAGGGAGAGGACAGGAGTGAGACCCGTCCCAGGTCAGATTCACAGGCTCCCGTCTGCCACACAGGGCTCTGGATGGCGGGGCAGCGCCACCTGAAACTCCACTTGGACTCACATCTCTTCTGGCTTTGTCACACCTCTGCCGTGGCTGACGTCTCTTGCGTTCATTGTAGGAGTTGATGACTTACCAAGTGGGCAGAATGTTGGCCTAACAGAGGAGTCACCCCTGCACCAGGAGCGAAGGGAGGGAGATGATCCCTAATGTCCACTCATCCCTCACCTGCTATCATCTTTCTTCCCCATCCCAGGTGCTTCTTACCCTGTCGTGCCTTACGTCTGTCTCACTCCCGATCACTTAGAAAGGTCACATACCACTGCTTCCTTCGACCCTCACGACAACCTTGGCAGGTGGATGTACAACTCTGTCACCCTTACAAAGAGATGCAGCGAATGACCCAAAGCTACACCCTGGGCTTTTGACCTCTGGTGTGGCCCTTTACCCCACTGTACCTCCCATTTCCCCCCGGGGGCGTTTGTACATAGTCACCATCTAGTTGGGGAGTACCAGTGCCGCCATCTGGGCCGCGACACTGCCCAGCATGTTGGGGCTGCCTCTTGCTACTGCCTTTCCTCCATCTTTGTCCCAGATGGCAAAGCTGCAGTTGGTTAAAGGTGCCATCTTTGGAAGTGAAGATGTTGCACCCTCAGACAAGGGATTTTGCTCACAAGTAACAAATGTGGCTTTCCACGGCTGCATGTTGTCACATGACCCTGAGGCTGGGACAACCCGAACCTGCCTGTTGTCACAGACTCTGGAGGCCTCCCTCCCTGGTGGCTGTGGTAATAACCTTCCCTCTCCACCCTTGAGGAATATTGTGAGGATGTTTTTAGTCAGGACAGCTTCAATTTTCGCTCTCACCATCCCTCATTCACTTACTCGCTCATTCATACATTCACAGGTAGGAATAGGTGTCACCAGAGCCCCTCACACTTCGGGCCTCTACCTGGTCTTCACAGATCCAAGATGGCGACCGAGCCGAGGCCCAGTGCCCATCAATCTCATGGTTGTGAGGAAGATTGGCTCACAGGTGGCAGGAAGGCTATTTTCCATCTTAAAAATGCAGTAGCTCATGGAAGTTATTCTCTGACTTCCCCAAGGATCCCCGGAGCTCTGATTTTCATTATCCTTTTCAGTAGGTGAGGGTGTGGTGGTAACAGACTAGTAACAGGTCTCCACACAAACGTCTTGAAAAGCAAGTTGTTCAAGATCTTCTCTAATTTGGCTTTTGAAGATTATTTCTGGGCCTAATGGAGGGCCTGTTTTGAAAGCACTGAGAGGTCTTCCATGGTAGAAAATGAGCACTGGATCTCATAGTACTGAGTTTGTGGTAGACCTACCTTTCACCCCTTGGCGGGAGGGGATGGGGGGGGGGGGCAACTTTCTAGTATCATCTACCTCAGAATAACAAGTCCTTCAGAGCCTTGGCTCTCCTCTGATACTCAGATTTGGCCTCCAGCTTTTCCAGAACTTTCTTCCCTGTGACAAGCTGAAAGATGCCTTCATATGTACAGTCTTATTCTTGCTAGCCCCAGGCCTAGCCCCAGGCCTACCCCCAGGCCTCTCCACCCCAGTGAACAGGTTTATGGAAAACTTTCATTTTCTAAATTGTGGTTCCTCGCTCTTAAGATCAAGGGAAATTCCAAAGAGATTTAGAGTGAGAAAGAAGAGGGCCAGGGGTTTCAGTTCCTATTTTATCTTTCTTTGGCAGTTAAGCCTTGGCTTCTAGAACTTTCCCATTGGAAGATGCTTTGTGAATATCATAAAGATGCTGCTCAAAGGAAAATCAGACCTGGGTGTTCTCTTCACAGAACAGATGGACCAAGCTCAAGCGAGATGGATCAGTCTCCAGCCAGTGAGAGACATTTTAGCTTGGCCTGCCTGCCTCTTCTTAGAGACTTCCCCTTCTTGTATTTTTTACCCTCTTGCTCATCTTGGCATGGTTAAGGAATAATAAAAGGAATGCAAATGATCTCTTTAACAGAGCACATGGCCCAGCTTCAGGGAGCACCTACAGAGATTTGCTTGAAATCTTCCAGGCAGTGGGTGTTGCCTAATCAGGTTCCGGAAGGACGTTGTCCTCAGAGCCAGCTCCACCGAGGCGCTAACCCTTGCTCACAACTTTTCCCCCCACCACAGGCTCCTGCAGCTTCTCCAGCCTCTGCCCTCAAATATGGTTCTTGCCTTTTTTCTCACTTGGCCTCCATCTCCACGCTGACCTTGGGATCCGCCCGACCTTGCCTTGCCATCCTGGCGCATCCCAGCGACAGCACCGCCCACGGTTCTTGGTCGTGACAGGTTGGAGCAGCATCCTTGGCCGCTGCGCACCAGCCGCTATAGCCCCTCCTGCCCGAGTCACGACAACCCGAGTGAATCCCCACGTTGCCAAGCGTCAGGGGAGGTGGGGCAGGGGAGAGGAGACACCAAACCACCCCCGGTGGGAATGCCAGCACCCCCAGAGGAGGGCTGGTTCTTTGGCTGCTGCGATCATCACGGCCGCGTCAGAAAGCAGTGGTCTGTGGAGGCTGGTTCTGTTGGCGGGGGCAGGGAAGGGGGGGTGTCACTGCTGGCCTGTGGCAGGGCCCTGACTGATTTTTGGGAGGAAGCTTGTGCCCCTCTTTCTTCCCTGAAGTGCCTTTGGAATGGTTTGGGGTGGTCTGTGCCTGTGGGAGGTGCCCCAGATTCTTCCTCTGCTGCCCTCTGCCCATCATGCTGGGTGCCCTTCTCGGGAGACGTCGGGCACTGCCTGCCCACCTACAGGAGGGCCCCTCATGAGGGGGGCCAAGAGTCAGGGTGGCCTCCGCTGCATGACAGGAAGGGCCCCAACAATCCCCACCTCCCCAACACTCACGTCCTCCACATGCCCACCCACCCGGTATTAGTCTGAGCACCCCTCCAGTTAGAGCAGGTGGTCACTTCAGGGAAAGGAAAACTCTGTTCTGAAGACCTTACTTTGAATTTTTGATATGCTCGCCAGCACGACAGGTACTTAGGTTCATCTTGTTGCTTGGTGGGGAGGAAAAGTTTAATAGACTAGATTCTCTTGGACACCTTCTAGAAGCTAGGGAAGAGACATGGAAATGCAGCTGGGAGGACTCGGTGGCATCAGGGAAATCACAGCTGGTCCGTTCCTAGCTCTGTGCGCAGCAGGACATTTAACCTCGTAGCAGCCGGGGAGGGGGTGACAGTGGGTCTGCCCAGTTCACAGCTGGAGAAGTGGAAGGACAGTGTATCGAGAGCTGTTGGGGATCAGGAATGCCTGGGTAGTCTGGAAACTTGCGCTCCGCTCAGCTCACACTGCCGTGGTGCCAGCAGGTGGAAGTGCTGTGGTCTGGATCACCAGCGCCGCTCGAAACACTCCTGTCTCAGAGTCACCCCAGGATGCGCCACCGCCCTTCTGGGTGGCTGGAAAAGTGAGGGAGACACCCCTCGCCCCCATTTGGGATCGGGCTCCCAAGCAGTGCTGCTTAAGCTGTTGTGTTTCTCAGCGTCCCCAACAGGGCAGCCCCATCATCCTTGAGCCCCCGGGGTGACCCTGGAGGAGGGGAAACCCAAGACAGACTGCAGAAGCCCCCCAACCTCCGCAGCCCGAGAGTGCCCTGCGAGTGGGATCCGTGCCCTGCTGTCTGCCTGCTGGCAGATACATCCAGGGTGCGCCAATGTCCCGACATCGCCGCCACGCCTCCGCCGATACTGCCCCAACATGAACATAGCCACGATTTTTTGCGAATCCCCTTCGGGAGAATAACGGCGCACTGTCTTTCCATATGGTTGCAAAGACCCTGATGGGGAGCAGTAATGTCAGCCTCTGCGCCCAGGGGTCACTGCCTGCATTCCCTCCGTCGTCCTGGCTGCTCAGCCGGAGCCAGGAGTGGGAGCCCACGTGTGCAGCCTCCGTGCCCACACCCCACACCCCACTCGCGCTGGGAGGTGAGGCGAGCCGGAGAGGCTGTCTCCTCGTTGCTGCCTCGTGGCCGACGGAGCCTTTCTTCTTAAGAGGCTCAGTACAGAGTCTTTGAAAAGTCCCACCTGTGACTCCGCTGTTGTCTGCTGTGCCTGGCCTTTGAACACAGTAGGTCTGCGAGTCCTCCAGGATTCCTCCAGCCTGGCCATGCCCCCCACCCCACCCCGCCGCCTCCGCCATGGCGCCCCTGGGAGAGCTGCTCCTGGGCTCCCTGATATTTGCTGACCTTTCCTTCTTTTTCTTTTTTCTCCACAGTGTGGCAAAGGAGCGGAAAACTTCGACAAGTTCTTCACACGAGGGCAGCCCGTCCTCACCCCGCCGGATCAGCTGGTCATCGCTAACATAGACCAGTCTGATTTTGAAGGGTTCTCGTACGTCAACCCCCAGTTCGTGCACCCCATCTTACAGAGCGCAGTATGAAACTCACCCAGGAGAACCAACGCCTCCCCTGCCCCCAGCGCCCCCAGCAGTGGGAAATGATCCTTAACCCTAAAATTTTAAGGCCGCGGCCTAGTTTCTTGTTCCAGATGGAGGCCTGAAAATTGTAGGGTTATTAGTTCAAACGTAAGCAATGTCCAGGGTCCCTCTCTTACAACCAAGACATGATCTCAGTGGAAGATAATGTGATGTCCAGTGTCCCGTTTTGTTATGTAAGGGTCACCTCTGGCAGAAGGTAGAGTTACTACCTAGAAAGCAGACAGACCCTTGCCCTGTTTTTGGTACGACTTGGTATGTTTTCCTTGCCCTCTGTCTGTCGGTTTTCTCCATCTGGATCCCCCAGCCACAGATGTCAAAGTGAATCTGCCCCCTGCCCGGTGGGCTGGAAGCATCTCCACACGATAGGTCTTTGGGAAGAGAGAATGGTGAGCCCAGAGAGTGATCAGGGTGGGGTTGAGGGTGAGGGAGGCTCGGGGATACCCACTGCTTCTGTTCTCGGCTCGATGGAATAAACAGTCCCTAGAACCCGGGAGGCTGGGTCCAGCTAGTCCTGCTGGTGCAACCAGCGTGAAAGCTCTCTCTGTCCCCACACGCTGACCGTCGTGACCAGTCGTGGTCCAGCAGTTGCCAGTTTTTAAAAAAAGAGAGAAAGGAAACCTCAGATGAGTGTGGGGTGCATCTGTCCTCATGTTTCCTCCTCGGTTGCTAACTATTTCGATCTTGCATTTCTTTTCAAGAGGCCAAATCTTCTAAGGACTTTGCTAAATGAGCATGTGAAATCATTTCAAATCAAGGGTAACCCAGTGTGTGTGTGTGTGTCCATTTTAATCTCTGGGAGATTATGCTGCGATCAGGGTGCCATCAGCAATCATGCCACTACTTACAAGTGTCGTTCGCCAACCCCCCACCCCCCGATATTTTGCTACCTACCCCCTAAGACGCTGAAGTGTACGCCCCGACCCCTTTTGTACTTATTTATTTGATAGGCTGCAATGTCCTTTATGAGAGTACGATGTATAGTAACTACAAGTGTTGGCTGTAGCATCCGTTGTTGTTGGTTGAGCTCCCTCCTGTCTCTGGCCGTCAGCATCCGCCTCGGGATGAAAACAGCACAGTTTGAGTTCCCACTTGCAGTTCATGTCGAATGACACACCAGGAGCTGTAGAATCCGGAAACCTGGATGCCTGTCAGCTCAAAGATGTTTTATCGTTAGAAAGATTTTAATGTTTTGCAAATGCATCATGCAATGAATTTTGCATGTTTATAATAAACCTTAATAACAGTGAATCTATATTATTGATATAGTCGTATCAAGTATAAAGAGAGTATTATAATAATTTTCTAAGACACAATCGTGCTATATTTGTGAAGGCTCTTGTTTCTAATCTGCTTTTATGATTAAGTTTTAGCTTAATTCTCTGCCATGTGCTTCCATCTCTTCCACCCCCTGCCTCTCTTGCACATTGTATCAGATATATTAGTTTTTTATCATAGAACTAATTTCAAAACAGAATGCCTACTTTACATGATCAATTAGACATGCATACATATATATATATGTGTGTGTATATATATATAAAAACATTTGATCTACCTTCAAACAAAAGTTTTTGTTTTGGGGGATTATTTTTGAGATGAGACTGTCTCTTAGCCTCTTCACACCATCTTCCGTTCCGGTTGCGCCACCTCGCTTCCTCTCCCTGCCTCCTCTCGGGCACAGCAGGAGTGTTTGACAGCTGTCACCCTACTGTGTGCAGATGTGGTGTCACCTCGGCCCTTGGGCTGGCCTTTGTGTATGGTTTTTTTTTTTCCTTTTTTAGCCTGGTTACTGGAGTGACACGGGGTGGGAGGGACAGGAAGAAGCCCTTCCTGGTGTGTGTGCATGGACACCCCAGAAGCATGCTGTCTGTCTCGGCGCCCCAGACCCGCCCCCGTTGGTCCAGCGCGTACAGGCCATGAGACAAATTGTCCGCAGCCCCTGGAGCTGCCAGCACACTCTCTGGAGAGGCGGCAGGTCTTCCCGCCGGGCATGGAACTGGCCTTTCCAGGCTCGCGAGCTGCTCCTCTGTGGTGAGGCACCCACCACCCCAACGCCAGGTCCGCAGAAGAGCCAGGAGTCTACAGCAGAAAGAACATTCAAGATGGAAGTGACTCTGTGTCCCTGTTCCCCAAAGACTCTGTCTCCAAGCTAAGCGCCCCCTTGTTCTTACTCCCTGGCTTTTGCTTGAAATTCATGTCACAAAGCCACGGCAGGGGCTTTTCCGGGAGAAGGCTTGGCTGGCTGGAAGCCGAGGAAGAGCTGGAGCAGGGAGCGACTTCTGCCTTTTATGGACAGTAGACCTCGGAGCTCAAGGGGGCTCTGGCTCAGCCGGAGCTGCCGACCTGCTGGGCACTTTGGGGGTGCTCTTCCTCACCGGATGCACCTCATTTGGTCTTACAGAAAAGGGACCCATTTATAGAAGCCTAAGAAGCACAAGGGCTGATCCCCTGCCCCAGAGTGGAGCGACAGCATGACTGATCCCCAGCCAAGCCCAGGAAGTGAGGAATGTTCCAGAAAGAAACACGTAGGCTGTGGACCATTTGTCCCCGAGCCCCGGCTGCCTGCTTGTTGTAAGCCAGCAGCGGGCTCACGCTTCCCTCAAACACTCTCCCCCTTGCACTCTCCAAATTCCTCATCTTTCTCTGGGAAACAGGTGGAGCCAGCTGGCTTGTCTTCTTTGGAAGGCGTGGGGTCCAGCCCTCTGCCGGGGGGGTCCGGGGCTCACGGACAAAGTTAGGGGAGAGAGTAGTCAGGGCCCCGTGAGGTGGAGTCTGTTCTATGCCCCGCCTTGTCCTGAATGCAGGTAAAGGCTGACGCAGGCAGGGCCTGAGCTGCCCGAGACCGTTACCGCTGGAAGAATAAATCATGCGGGAAGCCAACGACAGAGCCACAGAATCCATTTATAAAACCCCGAGGATCAGGCCACAGTGGGGTGGGGTGCCCTTGGAAGCCCCAGCCCCCAAGCCCGGCCTGCGGAGGGCCAGGCACCAGCGGAATCTGGCACAACCTGAGCCTGTGCCAGACCCGGGGCCCGTGACGCTGAAAGGCCAGTGAGACTGCGACTGCGGGCGGGCCTGCCCTGGGAAGGTGGCGCTGCGCGGTGGTGTCTGCCCGCTGCCCCTCCCTCTTGGCACCTCATCTAAACCCACTAGGTGCTCCCTTTGAAGGGAAGGATCTGTCGTGGGGCTCCAGGCAGACCCTCAGAGCTTGGGCGTTCACAGCCAGGCAGGAGCTAACTCAGAAAGTCAGTACGTGGCCCCAGGAACTGAACCGATCGCTGCTCTTGTCAGCCACCTCTTTCCTCCTGATGCCCCGGTGCAATGCAGTGACGAGTCCTGTCTGCCTTTGTGACGGGGCGTCTCGGGCTTTCTCAGTAGGAATTTTGGTAGAAAAGCCAGCATGGGTCGAGAGTTCTTTGGAAGCTTGAGGAGATTGGTTGAAAGATGATGAAGGGCCGTGGTTAATGGAAACCCGCAAACAATCCTGGGCACCTGCTCGAGCCCGGCCTTAGCAGAGCGTGGTGACGTGCGGGGACATGGGGACAGAACCCAGGAGCCCAGCGACTGGGGAAGGGACCTGAGCGGGGGGCTCGGCAGCGGCCGACGCTGGCCAGGAGCGGGGGGAACAGCAGGCTTGGAGCGCGTCGGGCAGGACGCGCGGCAGCAGGCAGCGGAGAGGAACCGGCATCTCGGGAGGAAGCCGCCGCCACCTGGGTGCCTTTCCACGGGAGGTGTCTGTGCGGATGATGGTTACCGTCTGCTGGTCCTGGAGAGCAAGTTCGTTGCCAGGGATACAGCCTGTTCCTCCTCAGAAGCCACTTCCAAATGCCACCGGCTCCCCCACCAGCTGCTCGAAGCCCCCGTCCCCGTCCTGTCTGGAAGAGGCTCGCTACCCCCCAGGCCTCCCCACCCCGCTCTCCCCTTCGGTTACGGCCACCAGGACCGATGGAGAAGCCACAAAACAGCCGGCCCTGCGGTTGCCGCCAGCTCCCCTCTGCAGGAGAAGTGAGGGCATCTCGCCGGGATGTGTTCTCCGTACTGGGGAGAGAAGGTGAGATCCTGTCTTTAAAAGCCTCAGACAGGCAGCACCGCCTGGCAGTCGCGCCGTGTCGCTTGGGTCTGGGGAGTCCCCTATTTCACACCACTTGCTGTTGCTTCACCCTCGAGGGGGCCGGAGCGCCCAGCCCCCCAGGGAGCACCCAGCAGAGCGGTAGTGAGCCCATGGGACCGTTGTGGGGCAGGGCAGGGGTGCTCCGGTGACACTCGTCTGACAAGGAGCGCTGGAAATATCTTTGCAGAAGCCTTTCTGGTGACTGTAATGTGCCAGACTGTAGCGATGGCTGCCCTTGGCCTTCTCGCTTGGCACATCTGGGGGACTCGGGCTGTGTCTGCTGTGGGAAGGTACAGAAAAGGGACAGGTGGTCTGAGCGATACCCGGATGAAGGCTAGGGAAGGAGTTGACCACAAGCGTGCATAGCCCATCACGGCAGGGCCTCCGGGAGGGTTGAAAGCACCAACAAGTGGGATTCCGGTGCCTCTGATCTGTGTAATCGGTGTCAGGCGAACTCAGTCATCAAACAGCCTTACGGTGACCCTACACCGAGGCCCACGAGCTCCAAAGACTTTTTTTTTAAAACGTAATGGAAGAAATTCACTTGTTAATTCCAGTAGAACCACTGAAATGCACTGGGCAATATTTGTACTTTTTTATAGAGAACTTTAATAACTCGATTCTTCTTTAAAAATGAGTTTTTCAAATAACACTACTGGCAATTTCATAAGATTCCAATCACATGGAGCCCACAGGAGGACTCGGCTGGGGTCCACCCGAGCCTCCCCCTCTTCCTTGCAGGAGTGTCCCAGGCCTGGTGGGGTGCAGCGTCCCCATCAGAGTGACCCGTGGCCCCCGGCCTGTGTCAGCAGACTGACGCCCGTGTGTAGTGCACAATGCGAACAGCTGTCTGAGGTCTAGACTATTTCAGGCCACAGGATAGTTGCTTTTATTGCCCCCCCCTTCCAGACACCACCCTAGGACTCCCGGGGCCTCTGGGGCCCTCTTACTTTGCTCTGTGAATCGGTGTGATCACCTTTTGGCATCAAGGAGGGGGTGCTTTCCTGGCCATCTGCAGTCCCCGAGGGCCCCCAGATCTCTCACATTTGGTGAAAAGGCAGCAGTGCCCAGGAGTGCACCACTGGGCAGTCCAGAAATACTTCAACCTCCCCAGAAGGAGGAGGCGGCCGCCGGGGTGCCCTCAGCATCCGTCTCAGTCACCACTTAGGTGAGTGGACAGGACCCTCCTTTTCAGATAATAGGCATCGAGTCCACTTTATAAGAACTTTTTTCTAAAATAAGTCAAACGGTGGCTTTGCATTTCGAACCGAGCAGCCCCGTCTTTGTCTTCTCTGCCTCCCTTCAGAGTATTTATTCGTGTGATTGTGTGTAGATTTTTGTTGATCCTCTTCCTGGAAGAATGTGATTACTGAGGATTAGTGAACTCTTCAAAATCATACCTGAAGGCAGTTATTCTTTGGCGTCTAAATGGTCTAAAAATTCATCTCAGATCCCTTCCATGAGGGTCTTTCAGAATATCTTGTATAGAAGGTCCGAAGCATTTGAAATCAGCTTTTGCTATTGCGCGCGCGTGTGTGTATGTGCGTGTGTATGTGTGTGTGTGTGAGAGAGAGAGAGACATGCCACATTTAAACTGTTCATTGGAAAACATCACCCACGACCCCAGATGTGCATGGAGGAGGAAGGGATGAAGGTTAAGCTTTTTCCTTCTGTATAAGCACCTATGACAAATGTAGAGGCCATTCAACTGTCAAATAACATTTGGTTCGTAGCGGCGAGATGGATGTATAAATTGTTGCATTGCTTCCCAATTGTATAACCTCTAATCTCTGTTTGCATGACATGCTTTGTTAGCGACATTAACTGTAGTTTGGAAGCCAGTGTGTATGAATAAAGATAATGACCGTTCCTCAGTGTGCTTGGTCTCATTAGCATCCCTTTGTGGGCCTGAGGGCCTTGGATTTGGACACAGTCTGCAGAAGGAACGTGTCCCTCCCGCCACCTATGCCATGTCTCCCTCTCACTTTTTTTTTTTTTCCTTAAAATACTCTGTGCTTTGAATCAAAGCCCAGACAGTCCTGGGATAAAGCAGCGCCAGGTCATTCATTCATTTCTCAGCCATTTCGGGCACACCTGCTGGGGGCCAGGACTCACACCAGGCCCTGGGGACACCATGGAAAGGAAGGTGGGTGTGGCTCCTGCACGTGTGGAGCAGAAATCCCTGCACCCCCAAACTTCAGGGGACACACAGCAATGGCTGAGGACATTGTCCGAAGAAGGCCCTTCCTTGTGCACTGGAAGAGGGGTTCCAGAGGGTTCCATTCAAAGCTTGGGAGTTTATTTCTGGAACAGACATTTTCACACATCCTGTTGGCCTCACTGTGCACGCAGCTTCAGAACTGTCACCACCGGGTGTCAGCAGCGCTCACCCTGTAGGTGTCTGCTCATGGGTGAAACCTGGGGCCAGGTGTCAGAAGTGAAGCAGGAGGGGAACATTGCAAAATACCCAGTGTCTTCAAACTCTGCGCTGAAGGGGTTCAGTCTTGAGTAGCAACCAGCAACAGAAGGAGCTTGTAACAGCTGAGGGTCAGTTTTGGCAAAGTTGGTCTTTGCTCCCTCCACCCCCTTAAGGGGGCTGCTCTCCCCGCTCAGGCTCAGGTGTCAGACCCCTACCCTGCCCTCTCCCCACCTGTAGCCCTCACCCTCAGTCCCACCCCCACAACATCCTGCAATCAGACTCCCCTGCCCTGCACCCCCCAAACCTTGCTCACGGGCCCAAAGCCAAACCCTGGTGTGGTTCCCACATCAGTGTGGGTCCCCGGCTCTGTGATCACCCCGAGTCTCCCAGAAACTAGGGATCTTTCAGTTGCTAGCTCAAGGACCAATAGGAGGGATATCTTGCAATCTTGAGGAAGAGCAAAGAGGACCCCGAGGATGCACAGAGCCATGTGGGGTGCTGACTCCCGGGCTGGCCCTGACCTTCACTCTAGGCTGCTGACTGCAGCAGGGCAGCGAGACTGACCACAGGCGGCTCTTCAGCGTGCGCTCAGCTTCCGCCATGCGCTGTCTCATTCTCTATCAGTCCACCTCAGCCCTGCAGGTCCCTTTTTTATTTACAGTCCTCCAGTGGCTTCCTAGTACCTGTAAGATAAAACCCAAACTTTCCCACCACCTCCCTGCTGCCGTGGTCTGGCACTTTGTGCGCTGGGTCCATAGTCAGGGGGGTGCACTCAGCTGACCTACTCCCAGCACTGGAGCAGCGCTTGGCACATCGTGGGGGCTCAGAAGAACGTTGGGTGGATGGATAGATGGGTGGGTGGGTGGATGAACGGTTGTGTAGTGGGTGGGTGGATGAATGGTTGGGTGGGTGGGTAGGTGGGTGGGTGGGTGGGTGGATGAATGGGTGAGGGGGTGGGTGGGGGGGGTGGGTGGATGAGTGGATGGATCCCAAGACCATTTTGTGTCTAACAAGGTGTTGCCCAAACCATTACCATGTCATGACCCGTGTCCTCAAAGTGCTCACAAACTAATTAAGGAGACAAGATGGACACAGAAGATTTATTTAAAGTTCTGCTCTCAAAATCTTCTCATATGCGTCTACTGAGGAAGCTCACAGTCTTCATCTCTGTCCACGGCCCAGCATCTAGAGGCAATGGGAGCTGACGCCGGCGCTTACGTGACTGCTTAGAGCACTGAGCTTTTTCTCCAGCCTCTTGAGTGCTTTGGGGGTGAGATGATGGTTCAGCTAAAATGCTAATTCACACAGGCCAAGGCCAAGGCCATCTACTTTCACACTCTGTCCCCATCCTGAGAACACACGGCGTGGCGGGGAGCAGGGCTGTGCCTGCGGGAAGTGCGCCTTGGCTCTAAGAAAGCAGAACGGGATGTCTCTCCAAGATGCTTTTTTTAAAAAGCTCATTCAATAACCACATTGCGGAGAGACCTATTCTGGGCCGGAGAGGGGCAAAGGACACTGCGGTTCTAAAGAAATGAAAGAGCTGGTGGTGGGTGCCAGCGCTCAGGTGAAAATGGCAAAAGACGACAACACAACAGAGACTATCACGCACACGCACGCGCACGAGCGTGCAACACAGGGCGCTAGGGGCTCTCCTAGTTACTGCACCTGCATTTCTTTAAAGGCACAGTGTAGACCCTGTGTCTGCCTCTCCAGGTAGGCCCTGTTTACTCTGCTCATTGTACAGCCAGGAAAGGGAAGTGCATGGGGGTGAGCAGCCCTGGGCAGCCCCGGCCCCTGGGGGAGCTGAGGCGTGAGCCCACCAGCGCGCCCCCTAGAAGAGGAGGCAGGGAGGCTGCTCTAGATGGTGGTGCAGAGGGTCTCAGACACGCAGACGCCAGCAAGCAGGCGGGAGCAGGGGACCAGCGCTCATCGGGTGCCTGCCCTGTAATTTCAACATAATCATCGACTTTATTCCTCGCAGCCCCTCTGCGGAATAGAAGGCATTGTTCTCGTGGCCCTGGTGGAGACACTGAGGCCCAAGTTACTGACTTCTGGTTACATGGCTCCAAAGCAGTGCGGCGAGCCTGGGCACCAGGTCTGTCTCATCTTTCTGACTTGCCAGGCCCAGGGACCAAAGACGCAGCCTGGGAGGGGATGCAGGAGCTTCCTGGAGGCAGGGGCCACCCCCATGGCTTCCCTCAGGCACACCCCATCGCCAACAGGACGTCTGCCTCTCTCTGCTGACTCTGTCCACGAGACTCGAGACTCGACGCCTTTCTGTAACTCCTCTGAACTGTTTGTGAAAGCCTCTCTCTCACCTTCACCCGGCTGTTTTTTTTTAACTGTCTGGGTGTGGGTGGAGAGAGAAAAATAGCACCTCGGTTCTCAGAACCCAGCAGGAACCTTTGCAGCCACCCCCACTCGGCTGACTCCCCTGGAGAGACCCCAGAGGATGGAAGCAGCTGGCAGAGGGAGTACTGTTCCTGTCCTCCGCCTCCCGCCACAGGGCCCCTCAGCATTGAGACCCCCCAGGAGTCAAAAACAAATGGAACTGTGTGAACGTGGGTGAACCCCAAAGGGTACGGGAAGGGCAGATTTCAAGGCTGGCCAGGCAGGGGTAAGTAGTGCCCAGTGGCCAGGGCACTTGTCAAAATGAAAGAGCTGATTTCTTTGGCAATGGGCAGCACAGGCAGGGAAAAAACCTGGTTAATCCAATAGGTTATCTGGAGGCGGGCCTCCCTGGTGACACAGGGGGTTAAGTCTCAGCACGATGAAGCTGTCCACAGCCACTGTAGCACAAGTTTGATCCCCAGCCAGGGAGCTACCCACAAGGTGCAGCAGACCTCTCCTGTCTCCCCGCTGCTCCCCTCAGCAGTGTGTTTCAGTAGATCTGCCTGTTGTGCTCCCGACTCTGTCTCTGGTGAATCTTCTCACCACTCTGCACCTCTGGCCTGTACCCCAGCTCCTTTATGCATAAATAAATCTTTTTTAAAAAAAGATTATCTGGAGGACATCAACGAAAATAGAAGCCACTACAAAACACAGCTCATCCCACATAATTGTTTTTAAGAGCTGCACGATAATTCCATTTTGCAGACACACTATAGTTCATCCAAACCCATCATGACTTTTAGTCCAGAGGTCTTAACGTGTAAGTGGTTCTGAAATTGTTACAATCATAATAAACCACAGTATGATGAATATTCTAATCTTTCTGTCTTCGTACACTTGACCAATTGTTTCATTCATTCATTCATTCCCAAACTGTACATTCAATTGCTACTAGGGGCCACGTAGAACTCCAGGTGTTGGAAGTAGCAGCAACAAACCAAACCAACAAAAATCCCTGTGTCGGGCCTCCCCTGGTGGCGCAGCGATTGAGCGCTGGGCTGCGAGGCTGCCTGCAGCCTCTGCAGCACCGGTTCGTTCCCCGGCTGCCAGCGAGGGTCCCACAAAAAAAAAAAAAATTCCTGTGTCCGTGGGTTGTTTTCTCTTGGTTTCCACATCCTTAGGATCAATTCCAAAAAGTTGGATTTTGGTCAATGACTGTAAACCTGTTGGGGGTTTTTATGTTTTCAAAAGGCATTTAGAAACAAAGGGAATGGCTGATCCATTTCAAAGTTTCCTGTGCCCACATACACACACCCTGCTACTGCCCCCCGAGTTGATAGTCCCCATGGGATTAGCTATCTGGCTGGCATAGCAGTTACTCCAAAACCTGGTGAGTTAAAACCACAAGCACTTACTGCCTCACCATTCCCCCGGGGCCAGGATATGGCATGGCTAGCTGGGTGCACTGCTTCAGGGGCTCCCCTGAGCATGTTGTAAAGGTGTCACCCCAACCCACAATCATCTGAAGGCTTGACCAGGGCTGGAGAATGTCCTTCGAAGAAGGGTCACTGCCATGTCTGCTCTCAAGAGCCCTCCCCACATGAGCTTCTCTGTAGAACAGCTCCAATGTTCTCACAACCTGAAGAAGCGATGTATTGACAATGTACTCTTGGAAGTCACACCCCCACCAGATTCTACTCCTTAGAAACAGGTGCCTGAGTCCGTCCCACGCTCAAGAGGAGGAGCACTAACTTCACCTCTTGAATTTTGGGACACAGTTTAAACACCACACCACAGGTAGGAGGCCTTCCAGGGACTCTGGCTGCCACCAGGAAGAGGAGCAAGAATCATCATCAGTTGCATGTGAGAGGGAATGACCTTGTCCCAAGACACATTTCAGTGAGTGAAATTTCGATTCTTTTCCATTTTTATCAAAGCTTTTCTGTCATTATGGAATACAGGGTAATTGTTGAAAACTTGGAAAATATAGGAAAGTCAAGATAAAAGAACAATATTCACCATATACTAATGCTCATCACACAACCTAGACACAACCTCTGCTACCACGGACGTTCATTTCCTTCTTTCTCTGACTGTTGCTTATATTGTGAGGAGCGTGATGAGTGTCGAATTCTGTATCCTGATT